TTTCAATGTGTTGCTTCATGCAGACTATAGCTATATAAATATGGATGATGATGTTGTATTGAAAAAGTTGCATGGACATATTAGTTCGAGACAAAAATTTGGTAAGACAAATAGGTGGAAATCCATTTATTTTTGGAAAATCTGTAAAAATAATCCAAAATTTGGAATGATATGGAAAGTTCCGACACGTGTTCGTTTGTTTACAAATACAAATCATAATGTCACGTAATTATTCAATGATGTCAGATTCATTATCCGCCATCTTTATGTGTGCATACAAAATTCCTCATCATAGCCATTTATCGTGTATAAACTTGAACAAATTGAAAAAATATGTTCATTGTTACACATTAAATACTAAGATATTGCAAATACAGATAATTCAGAAATTATGTTGGTTAGATATTAAAATCAGAGAAAAATGTCAGTGACCCATATCGTCAAGGTTCACATTTTTGTCCCTTTGTCTACATTTCTAAGAAATGGGATTGTTACTTACCGCTCTCAAATACAAAAGTCAACAGCACCCAAATACAATACAAATTAATTATAAATAATGCTCAATGGAATTTCTGAAAACAAAAAGATTATATTCTCCGTTGAATTCGAAGAAGACTCATTCATTGAATTCTTTATGGCGCGATAGATCCTTACTCACTATAGGATTTTATGTAACAACATTATATATATAGAAGTATATCTAACAATCTTTCAGTGTCTTCTCTTCTTCTGATATATAGTTGCAGCTTCATTTAATATTGAAGATTACGTCAGGATTAATATATTACCTATACAGTAGCTTCACTTAGGAATTTCATTTCAGCGGAGGAAAATTTATTTATAGTTAGGGAGCTACCATTTGATTTTTATGGGGGGCTAGTAGGATGAAAAATTTTGTCCTGCTATTTTTTTTAGTTGTAATCTCTGTCCTGCCTTTATTTTTATCACTCTATTCGGTCCTGCCTTCTTTTTTTTTCATTAGATTATCCTAACTTTTTTTTACATAAATTGTCATCCTGCCCTTTATTTTTGCAAAGTTGCTCATCCTGCCTTTTTTTTACTCAAAACTCCTGTCCTGCCTTTTTTTCAAATTTCATACTTGCCCCCAGATTTATAAAATGTGGGAATAGGAGGAATGAACCGCTCCATTCTTACTTTGATTGATTAACTGATTGTTGGTGTTTAACGCAACTTTCAGCACTATTGGCTATTTCGTAGCGCCTGCCAGTTTTTATCGACGGAGGAAGCCGGGGTGCCTCATGAGAACCATAGAACTTCGGCAGTAAAAATGGAAACCCTTGTCAAATACGATATGATTAGAAAGCACCTGCCACGTGTGGAATTCGAACTCACAATCCACTTTGAAATGCCCATATGACAGAAAGGCACCGAGCATTTATCTTTCAATTCGGGGGAACATCCTTTTTAGTTATATTTCTTTATATCAGCAGTTTAAATATTTTTGACGCTTTCCGTAACAGCGTTCATGTTATCGTTAACACGGGCCCGAAGAGTCGGCTAGGTGAATACATTTGGTCATTTTGTTTGGGCTGCACGAAATATATAAAGTCGCAGCCATGATCAGTCGAAATAGGGACGTTAATCCGATGCGTTTTGTACAGAAAGTGCAAGTTAAAGACACTTTTCAAAAACTCTTTGAGGTGTTCGTAGGTGACCTGTAGCAAGGCAAATTTCTCCTCTTGATAAGAAATTCTCGACTTTTATCCCGGACGTCCCACTCTGCAAAACCTACTTTTCCCATGATTTGACTTTAGACAAATTTGGCTATCTTATGAACCTTTTGGTCATATACATGTAGCGCTTCATGTGTTTTGATCTTATACGTTCTTGGCTTTCAGGTGTTTCTATTTGAGCGTTCCTGATGAAGGTAAATCAAGAAAAGCACTTCGGACGCAGGGTATTAACCTAGTGCTATTTTCATTGTTCTCGTCCTGAAAATGTGTGGAATATCTGCCACTGATCGTTCAGCAAACAACAAGCAGTAAATCAAAATATTTATGGCATAATTTAAGTTTCAATCTGCTAAGAATCAGGCAGTGGTGAAAACATGACAAACAAAAACCCACTCAAGTTGATATTAATTTATGTTGAAATTGTATAATAGTGCACGAATATAACATTCGTTGCCTTTTCCTATTCTGGTAATTCAAGATATAATATGGTTGACATGCACTAGAAATTAACAATTAAGGGGAGCTAACTCTGTAATTTGCTATCATTCTAACCAAAAGTTATCTATCATGTCTATAGATTTCTTGAGTTACCAAACCAGCAGAAACGAAACACATACCAATTCTTACTCAGGGTGAGGGTAACTTCAAAATAGGATGGTTATGTCGGTGGGTTTTTTCGGCCATTTTTTGATTTTTTCAAAATTGCCTGATTCTTTTAAAGACTGGCACTTAATATTTGATTATCTGAACCTGTATTTCCGTTGTCATTATACACAAAAATAACAAAGGAACAGAAAGAAAATAACTTAACATGATTTTTTTTCAGGGTAATTAGTTTTATACCATTTTAATCGCTTAAATGAATAAGGATACTCTATAGTAACACGAAAAGTCATTGACAAATTGTGGAATGTCGAGTAATAAGTATTATAGTACAATGTATTTGTTTTGTAATAAAGAGCTAATCGATTAATGATGATGATTGTCTAAGCGATCTTTTTAAATTTGAAAGTTCAGCGGGGTTATTGAGAACACCTAAGTGACAAAACGTGATGCGAATTCTCAACCAAATACTGATACAATGTCATCAACCCACACACTTAAAAACAAATTTTACAGCAATCGAAATGTTTGTATTCCAATGAGCGACATTGGGGGAGTATAATCATCTTTTTGTTATACTGTTATAGGTTTAATTAATAAAAATCATGACAAAAATCAGTTCAATAGTAAAATAACTTTCCGATAAAACCGAAAAATAGGTAGGGCCAATGTCTTTCTAAATAATTTCGCACCAGGACGTTTAAAACAAATGAACTATTGAAAATTACAGTATCAATGATTTATAATTGGTGAAATTGAGGTTTAAACTTATTTTGTGGTGTACTTTTGTATATGAAAACATTGATAAAAGATGGCTCATTACTGCGATTTTGAAATATTTTCAAATAGTGGGAGGGTAAACAACGATTTTCTCCCTTACAAAAACACATCCGAGGCTGAGAATCAGTGGCAGATCCAATGTGGGAGGGGGTAGATGGAATACGCCCCACACTTTTTTGATCGCCAAAAAAATAATAATTATATTATTTTTTTCACGTTTTATATGAATATTTACCATAAAATCGTTCAATAACTGAATTATTGTAGTCTCAATTTGAGGTAATAATATTTATTGCTTTTTAAAATGCAACACATACTTCTCCCTTTCGGTTCCGATTTTTCTAGGGTGTTAATATTTAAAGTCTGTAATATTGTTTAATGTATATAATGATAGCATGTAAACGTGTTGAACAATTTTTCAACAGGGACATGAAAACTCTTTAAAATTCAAAATGAAATATACTTGAATTCTCTTACATCATTTTTGATAATGAGGGTGAAACAAAAGCGTATGACATAGTTTCATCAATAGGAGCAACTTTATGGGTCGAATTAATGAAGCTAGATCAAACTTATAACTACTATTATTTACTGATGGTTTATAAATTTGGTAATGTCTTAGGGATAAACAAGTGAAATTTACCAATCGTCTTTTATGTGGTGTCTTATCATCAAATTTCTTTTTATAAATACAACCAAGATTATTGGTAGAACTAGCGAAGCTAGAGTAAAAATGTATCAACAAAAAGGTAGATTTAAAAGGGGTAAATTAATTAAACCTGACAAAACCAAACATTCGACTATATCAACCAGCGGAACGACTAGAAAACAACTGTCACATTCCTCACTGGGTACAGGTATTTTCCGAAGAAAATGGCAGGTTAAACCTGTTTTTTTAGCTAGCTAAACCCCTAAACGTTTAAATTCTATAAACTGATGGTTTAAAAATGTGGCAACGTCGTAGGGATAACCAAACATTAACAAATTATCAATTCGCCGTTTCAGAATTTAATGCATTCTGGGTAATATTTTCAAAAGCGTACATCAATGCTAAAGCTATCAACGTCCCTAACAATTGAAATTCAACCAATGACGTGATGGTGTTATCATGTTGGTGTACGAACAATGAAATTACCCATAGTCCTTTAGATTCATGATGCATGACGGGTAGCATTGGTGAAGCTTGATTAATATTGCTCAATTTTAGTTTTTTGTTCTATATATAGTGTTTTTCGGATGTTTTTTTTTTACAATGGTGTGCTCCGTCTTTCCGCGACTTCTTGTTTTTAATGTTCCCATTTTCATTAAATATCTCTTAACATAATATACATTTCACGTGATTCATGTGTGAATAATGTCGTTTGGACAAAATAAGCGTTATACTGTTAGGTGTACATAAATACGTTAGAAATTAGTGTAGAAAAAGAAAGATTTATTTTATTAATAATAATTCTATTCATAATTTTCCAGAAACATGATGGACATGTTGCTTTTTCTGATACGTCATCTCTTTAATTAATTGTAAACCTTGAAACGTCTATTGATGGTTTTCGCACTTTATCCACCAATTTGCCTTTCTATCAATGCTTTGATTTAACTTTTTAAATGTTGATTGAAAGAGATTTAAATACCATCACTATTTATCTGTAACCGATATTATTTGTATTATTTGATGCAGTCGGCTACCCATTAATAGCATACGTGGGTGGAATCATATTTAGCATTTTAGCCAGCATCCATATTTGGAATAAAATATTTGTATACTTAATGAAATAAAATTATACAATTTTCGATTTACTCCCAAAGAAAATCTTCGGGAACTAATTCGCTATTTAGGCGATCGATGAATCTCTGAGATGCGAATGCCATATTTAAAAACCATGTTTCAGAAATCATAAAATCATTTACTTACAAAAGTGTTGATACATCCTCATTTGTAATATAATTTGGATTTTACTTCAATTTAAAGGACACACGTTTTCCGAATGTATTCACCGACACTACGTGCTCCGTCCGATCCACAAACTGCCAAAAGGAGGCTTGCCTTCCAGAAAAGCTATAGCCAAGAGGTTCGTAATTTTAAATTTCATTTCAAAATGTATAATAAACAGTTTAGCTGTATAAAAAACTAATTTATTTGATGGCTATACATGCAGACAATATAAATAAAAATCGGAAACTTGATTTTCTTTTAAAGTGCATGCTTGAAAACGGGTTATGTTATAAAATATAAAATTATAAATAAAAGTACGAAATATTTAGGTAAGTGACTCTAATTTATAATTGCAATTTTTATTTTTTACTTTCATGATTAATTTGAAAAAAAAACTGCAATTTTAATTAATCTTTTATTAGACTAATTTAAATTACATATCATACGCTTATTATTGCGAAAAACGTCTTGCAAAAAACTTATGCATGATTAATAATAAAGAAATATAGAAAATAAGACCTTTGTATCAAAGTTTTTTTTCAGTTGATCTGAATACAAAATAATAACGACATCTTTTAAGGGCGGATGCAGGAGTTTTGAAAAGGGGGCGTAGTTCCATAAAACGGATTATTTACGGATAAAAAAAAATTGGACGATTGTATGCTAAAAATCATATAAATCGTAAAAAACCTGATATAATTATTTTTGGGGCGATCAAAGAGGGGGGCACCGTCTATTCCTCCTCCTGGATCCGCCACTGTCTTTGATCCAGAAAAATCGCCCAAAACAGATAAATAGCTAGACGAGCATCGCTTTTCTTATGTTTCTAAACTCGTACAAATATACTTTATATTTTACGACAGTTAACGGAAAATAAAATATGTTTAACTTGTTTAGCCCCACCACATTCTGTATGTACTGCCAAGTCAAGATCCTGTAATTCAGAGGTTGTTGTTTGTTGCTGTATATCATATTTGTTTTTCGTTTATTGTTTTGTACATAAATCAGGCCGTTAGTTTTCTCGTTTGATTTTTTTTTTACATTTTATAATTTCTGGGCCTTTTATAGCTTGCTGTGCGGTTTTACTCATCGTTGAAGGCCACACGGTGACCTACAGCTATATAGTTGCCTACATTTACGTATTTGAAACCATCCTACATCTTCTTATATATATATATATATATAAGTCTATAAAAAGGACCAACCAGCAAATTTGATATGCACCAGATCATCTAGAATAAGCGATACTGTGCATATAAGGAAAATATAAAAGTTTACAGATTTGCACAGCGATACTGATGAAGGCTAATTGTTCAGCCGAAATATTTGTTAACACGATTTTCTAACATCATCTTCGTATATTCTCATCTTATATTAGTACCGTTGTGCAAATCTTTAGACTTTTATACATACACATATATATCAATTCACTTCCCTTTCCTATGTTGTATTAGTAATTTGATTTTAAAATTATTCTTATATGCCGTTTAACGATTGAAAGAATTTGCAAATTGGTCGCTTCAAGGATTGTGCTATTAAAGTCTGTCGCTACTCCGTTAAATAGCAAATGAAATTACATGTTTTCAAAGGATTGTATTGGACCTAATACTTGCAATCAGAAGATCATTGTCTGTTTCTTCAATAACAACAGACAGTCTTTCACCAACAATTATAACATGTTATACTTTATTTTGATTGCACATATTGAAGGTGTATTGTCAATTTATGAATTATGTAATTGTATTCAATTCAATGTTTTTTTTTTAATACAGAAATTTTCACAAGTAACAATACGTTATCGTTATACTCTTTACTCGATTTCAAACAGTTTTATATCTTAAGGATGTTTGCTCCTCTGTTTCAAAATAACAAACTTTTTAAAAGACTGTTATAAATTGACAGTATATAAACAAGAGGCTCTCAAGAGCCTGAATCGCTCACCTGTATTTCAGAGGAGAAGATTTTTAAATGTAAGCAAACTTGATGAACAAATTGTGTAAAATTGTCTTTAAAGGGCAATAACTCCTTAAGGGGTCAATTGACAATTTTGGTCATTTAACTTTTTTGTAGATCTTACTTTGCTGAACATTATTGCTGCTTCCAATTTATATATATCTATAAAAATATTAAAAAAAATAACAAAAAACTGCAAAATTTTGTTAAAACTACCATTCGGTGGCAGCAACCCAACAATGGGTTGTTGGATTCGTCTGAAAATTTCAGAGTTGATAGATCTTGACCAATTGAACAATTTTACCTCATGTCAGATTTGCGCTAAAAGCTTTAGTTTTTGAGATATAAGCCAAAAACTGCATTTGACCCCTATGTTCCATTTTTAGCTATGGCGGCCATGTTTCGATGGATCAAAACTTCGGATACAATTTATAAACTAGATACCCTAAAGAACATTTAGTTAAAGTTTGAAGGTATTTGGCCGAGTAGTTTCAGAGGAGAAGATTTTTGAAATAGTTTACGACGACAGACGTCGACAGACGACGACGACAGACGACGGACGACGACGGACGCCAAGTGATGTCATAAGCACACCTGGGGCCCTTCGGGCCCCGGTGAGCTAAAAATGGAATTAAAAAAGCAGAAAAAAATTAAGAGTCCGTGTGCTTGTTTTCGAGATATAAGCCATTGAAAATTTGGCGAGAAATGATTCTCTCTAGATTTTCGTCCATTTATCATTGGCACCTTTTTTTCTTTCAAAAACTTTGAAAAAATAACAAGAATTTTATAAGATTTTCAAATATGGCTTTTTAAACTATATGTAATAAAATTATGAAAAGAAAAGTAGGGATTAGCAGGCAAAATTTTTATTGACAATACATGGATAAAACCAGAGAATTCCGAATATCTGACAGAAATTCAAAAACAAGAGGAGCGAACATCCTTAATAACAAATTTACTGTACTTTAAATTACAATCGGCTGTTATAATTTTGGCTGAAAAGTAGGGAGAGGGTATATCAATACAACTTGCAAACTTCAAAACCAAGTTCGTATCCCATGTTTCAAAATCAAGTTCGTATCCCATGTTTAAAAATCAAATTCGTATTCGATGTTACAAAAACAAGTTAGTATCCCATGTTTCAAAAGCAAGTTCGTATTCCATATTTCAAAATCGAGTTCGTAGTTGACCTTCGATTGATTTGACTATTATTTATAGGTCCATTTTTGTCATATAGCTCTTACATTGTTTCGGTTCTTAAATACATGTGCATCCTTGGCTTTCAAATATATGTCTCCGAGCGTTCCCGATGACGGCAAATCCAGAAGAGCGCTTCGGACACATGAAATTTATAACGTGTTGTTTTCATTTTTCCCCCTTAAATTCAGTAGGTTTGACCCGGGAAATGTTGGGTGTCTAACACAGGGAAAACAAACTGTGCTTCGAGCCTCACTTCCGCCAGTCTTTTCGTTACACATGTATACAAGACATTTACAGACTCAGACTCGGATACTAATATTCTGCTGTAGCATCGATATCCTTGTTGAACTATGAGGGTGTTGGTAGGGGACAATGAGGTGCTTAAACATACAGAATAGAGAATAGTAGATAAAAAGTATAAAGAAATAAAGAGAAAAATGGTCTAAAAAAATAAAGAATACAGAAATGAAGAAACACCCTAACCGAGTGGTTAGGCTTTTCCACCTAATTGTTTCTTAAAATAGATAATTGGCGCTATTAGTTTGTCCTGCTGTCAAAACATTATCATGATTATGTTTGTTTTGTACAAGATTTTTTTCTGTATTTTATTTGTACTTTTTCTCGAAAGCAACAATTTCAGGATATACGTTATAGCAGTGAAGGCTGTCGAAATATGAAAATGGTACACGTCTGTATGGAATAATGAACCGGTAACCGATTATAACCCCCCCCCCCCCCCTCACCCCCCCCCCCCCCCCCCCACCCCCACCCCCAACTACACAGTCATATACTTTTTTTCAAAGTTCAAAACTGCTGCACATGTCCACCAAAGTAATTCTGAACATAAAACCTAGATAACTATTGTTTTATAAAATCAAGTCCAGTTCAAAAACATTACTTACACATGATGCATTTCAAAATTGCAGTGATATAGGAATTGTGGTACCATATTTTGTATGTCTGTGTTTTTTATTCTTTTCTAGCTATCTATGAAGGATAAATTCCCTTGTCAAAGTTGGAATTGCATTTGTTGGTTGTACATGTGTAGTTTGTCACATACCAGTTAAGATGCTTAGTATGTGGTTATGTTTTAAGTGCGCATTCTGTTTTGTCAGTTTTACCATGTTTAAGAGAATTTTAACGAAGTTATTGCAAGGTGATATGTGTGTCTTCCGCCATCTTGAATTGTAAAATACATTGTTTGTAGCAGAACACAACAGCAAAGTTCGATGCAGGAATGCATCTTACTAATTCGAATTTTCATTTAAATGAAAAAAAAATAATGTGATCTTGGGTTATTATCATTCATATTTTTACAAAAGCAGAATATTTTAGCTTGATATCAATTCTCTTTCAAACGGTGCCACCGTTTTTTCTTTTGATATTCTGAAAGCATTTTATAAGAGAGCTAACTTCTTTTCTTTTATTTCAAAATCCTATCATTTGGTTTACCTTCTATTCACATTATGATGCCTTTTTTCTGTATACTTCATACACAATGTGACTTTTTGTCACAACCTGTAGCTTCAAAAAAAGCTCGGTTACAGATCATTTTTATTATATTTTTTTTACATATCACAATATATATTACATTTTGGCAAATAATGAACAAATTCTATTCTTTTGTGTGTGTACTCCCATGCCACCGTCATAGGATTAATATGTTTAAATGTATTCATTGTTCTGGGAAATATTTTTATTATTTAAAATCGTCCATATCTGAGGCATACATGCATGGTTGACATTGCTTTTCATCTTTAATGTGATGAACAGCTTCGGTGTCTTATAAGACTTTCCACTACCTGCATGCATATGTACGTATACTACACGCCATAGGACATGCATGATATATAGTTTCTTCGGTAAATTTATACGAAAACGAAATGTCAGGTCATTTTGTAGTTCCATGACAAACTGCCCATTTTTGACGTAGACGCAGGATTCGTGTCAACTGTTGATTTATGTCAAGGTCAAAGTTTTGAC